ATTGGGTCATTTACCGACGTTCACGTAAACGAACGGCGAAGATTCGTTTAAAACAAACTAATCAACAATTTTATCAATCTATCAATAATTGGTGTACCCTCATTAAATCAGCAGTTCTCGAGCGTCGGAGCAATCTAATGCTGTATCTAATTGTAACCGTCCAGGGAACGAAGGAGGAGGATACGGATTAATTAGCTTCAGCATACATTCCGTCCAGCAAGAACAAACACCAACACAATGGGTTTTAGAAGCTTTGATCCATCTCTCATGTACCTTAGCTTAACCGAAATTGTACCTACGAAGCGCTAACGAACAAGCCTATCAATTTTACGTTAATCTCCACGTTAATAAAACGTTTAATCGACCGACAGTGCATGATAAAAAAGAAAAAAATGTCATTAATTATTCATTCGCCTTTAACCGTTACGGATTCGTACACTTCGAAAAGTGAGGACAGCTCATGTAACGAATTTTTGTTTGCCGTTCATGGTTTATTCATATTTCCAGTAAATACTCAACGTTGCGGTTGAAAATATAGCGCACAAAAAATACTTAAATAAAGAAATCACGGAAAACAGATCATCGCGAAATCCGATAAAAACAGTACAAAGCCGGGACTATCGAAATTATTTCGATCTACCGACGGGTCCTTTGCCTTTGTTTTATTTTATACCACACCGTATACGCATTCTTTCAAACGAGACGTGCCATTAACAAAGATCGAAGAAAACGCAACTGCGACGTACGTAATTATTTGCATTCGTACCGCAGTTTATGCATAGATCTAACCTTCAGATTGTAGAGTTTTCATAATTGGAAAGAACCGGTCGATTTCGTTTATAAGCATCTGTCTTTCGCAAACATTTAAATTATTCGTGCTCACGTTTAAATTCCCCGCCTAATTAAACCGAACGAATTAGGTTGCTTTTTGAATTTGACTCAACCCACTCTTTCGCATACGCAAAAATTTTGAAATGCAAATGTTATCGCTTCCGCGATTACGGTCAATTCGACGCAACATGCCCGAAGCCGGCTTTTATTATCAAACGACGACCCTTATCGCACTGGTCGGTATCTCGCTAGCCACGCCGAATACACCAGCTCCGCGTCTGCGAAGTGGGTTCTGTTCGGTGTTCTTGAGGGCGCCAGCTAGTTGAAAACTATGTCGATCAAACAGCCCATTCCACGGAAAAGTCTTGCCAGAGTGAGCAACGAAAACGTAAAATCTATCATGTGTTAGGCGGAACTCCTCTACGAATTCGCAAAATTCCAATTATTATCACGCGCAGCAGCGGAGCTTGTGGCCTACATTTTTTACTATTTTTGACCGTGCATCTCGAGCATCTTTCTACAAGATGTTAAATTAAATACCCGGGACTCAACTTCCGATAAAAACACAAAACTTCTATGATGTTATTTTAAAACGAAAACTTTGGAAGTCCGCTATAATTTTAGACCGGATCGATGCTCTATGGGAATCTTGGAGGTGTTTTATTATTTAGAGCGTCGAGGAAAATAAAATTAAATGTTTAGCCAAAGTTTTAAATTATTTAAAGAAATTTTAATTTATAATTGACAGTTCGTTTTATTTGTTGAATCCCACCAAGCCGGTGCAAACTGGGTCATTTTTATCCTCTTTACAAGTCTTCCAAATGAAATTGTGGGTGATTGTTTTTTTTCGCGCTGAAAAATTGATGCGACACTCAGAAAAAACAGTCAGTTCGAATTTATATTTGTAGTCACGCCGGAATTTGTAAGCAGAGTTTGACGTCTGCATTAGGAGGGAATAATTTTTTGGAAAAGGAAAAAATGAAAGGATAAATTATATATGTGTCGGGCGAAGTGCGTTTGTGGTTCGGTCCTTGGCAAAAATGGAATTTTGTACTTAATGACGGCGTAAATAATAAATAGGTGTAGGAAATTCGATATAAGTACGTCCGGGCATCCGAAATCGTGATTGGAGACGGCGTATTGAATCATTAAGGGTTAAATTCGGTGCTTGCAACATGTGTAGCGTGCGTGATTATCGAATATTTCGATCGATAACAATTGCGGTTTGCATCATAAATGGCTATTTGTGGCGGCATTAAGAATTCATATGTGAAAAATGCGGCGGTAGTTGTAATATATAAATAAAAGCGTGAACGGAATTCGGGAACAACGTGTTTAATCTGAGAGCTTGTTAGGGCAAGCTGTGCCGTTTAACCGCCAAAACGAATCAGCAAAATGGCTGTTAGAAACTAAGTTGGATCGAAAAACTTCAAGAGAATAGGGCTTTTAAAGGTAACAGCTATTAAATTAACCAACTAGGGTTAAAAGCCACAGGAAGTTATAGCAAGTAATGAAGTCAAATATGGACTTTATTGAAATATCCAGTTTGTTTCAATATAGGAATGTCTGTTTTGCTAGAACCCGAGCTAATAGACTTTGGTAGTGTTGTATAATGAAGTATGCATTCGGTATACTCTGGATATTAACCGACATAAGGATAACGCGCGTGACTGAGATAGATAAGAAGCTCCCGTTTCAGGAATTCCTATTATCTTCGCCAGACTACCAACCGCACTTCGTCCCCACTATGCCAAGATGTCCAACGTTAACACTACGCAAAAAACAATTTCGAATACCTCTCGCGTATACGTTTTTGCCTCTCTTTCCAACCGAAACCCCAAAAACACTAATTCAAATAAACTCCACTAAAACATGCCTTTCGTCGATCGACCCCTCTTTTTGTCGTTCGCCTCACATATAAATAAACTTTAAACCATAATTACGCAACGCCACCCGCTATGACATTCCAATATACCTAAATGTTTAAATGTGTCAGTTATGGTCGTATATTTAGCAACAGCGTTGAATTACGTTATATCAAAGCGGTCGAATTGATTCATTAAACGTCATAGCCGGTTAAACCGGGCTCTATTACTCCTTCTGTTCAAATTTCGTTTTATTGCTGCCTAAATTTGCCACGCTGCCACCACCTGATGCAGCTTAAACGATACATTGTAATTTTTATAGTTTCAGCGTTACTAATATTACAAAAATTTTTACAAACTACTCGGTTCACCGTACGTTTAACAATACAAGAACTTTACCTTTGAACACACAAGCATCACGAGAATTCGATCATGAACTTTCAGGAAATGAACACTAAACCGCACACACACAATTCAAAAAAAAATTCCTTCGCAGGCAAACGTATTTGTTTACTGTGTCTTTTTACGACTTCCACGTTCCACAATACAACACGAGTTTTTCTCACAGCGGCGCAACGCCGTTTCCTACATGGATGTCGTCGCAATTTCGTACGTTTGACCATCGTACGAATAACGTGGCACGGAGATCCAAAAAGAATCGATTCCTACGTCCTACGAGCAACGCAATTCTGCAGTATTAAAAAGGTTCATGAACTTCCAGGAAACCGACACTAAAGTGTACAATTCAAAAGAATTTTTGATTTGTGCGAGCAGAGCGCGCTACCGTCTAGGTATATCGTAAATTATTTCTCTTAGTTACATGAACCTGACTGTAGAAACTGCGTCAACATTTGCAATTAAATACAGGGTGATTTCGAAATATGTGCAATAAACAAAAAGGGGAATAGCTCACAATAAGAATATCGTGTTGTTTAAAGTTCACGTTCCTAAGACAATGTCTAGAAAAAATTATTTGAAATTAAATATAAATTGTTACACACGCCTCTGGTAATATTTCTTGGCCTAGTTCTTTCAATGAATGGCACAGAACGACTCGGGTTAAGAACCAAAAAAGTGACTGATAAGTGACGTGCAAAACACGAAAAGGGTTAGTCATGCATCAGTTGATTTTTCCAATTCAGGGTGTGTCGATATGGTAATGCTTTATGGTGTGTGCGAACTTTTGTATTAGTAGCACAGCATCTCCGAGATCATGGTACCTTCAACCTCAAACTCACAACCACAGCCGTGATAGAACCGAAAGAATACTGCAAGCTGATGAACAAATTTTGCACCGCGTCCAAGAAGAGCCCGACATCAGCACTTGCCGACTTGCAACTGAAGCTGGAGTTTCACAGTTTGTAGCCATCGTACATTAAAAGAAACATGTTCAAAAAGTGCAAGGTGTAGAGCCACGTTTTGTAATTTACTGCAAATGGTTGTTACAACAGTATCGTGAACGCCTTAGCTTTTTAAAGTGCATTCTGTTTACGGATGAAACAGGATTCACTCGCAATGTTGTTTTCAACAGCCACAACACTCGCGGTTTTTCATAAATGTGTAGGCCGGTATCGGTTGGATGAAACAATTAGTTTATGGAAATCAACAGTGTCCAGAAAATTTTGAAGAGCTTCAACAACAAGTGAAAGTGGCAGCCGCTGCAGTTGGTGGAATTCCCAGTGGTTTTTACCTATCAACAAACATGTTGCGACGTTCTGAAGCCTGTATTACTAGTTAAGGACAACACTTTCAACATTTCTTGTAAAAAGGTAGTAGCATTCTAAGTTGCTCTTATTTTTGTTGTAATAAACAATGTAAGATCGTTGTGGCAAGGAGCAAACATCCATCAGAATAAAAAGTCGATCACCATGAAGCATTACCAAAAATCGGTCATTCTCAGGACCACCGAATAATCTTTCGCACTGACCTTTAAAGATGAATGAATGTATGAATGAGCGAATGATAAGCAGCAAAAAGTCGGTTTTACTTTTAATTGAAACTGGAAGTGTTTACACCGTTTTTATTCGAGCGTTTTTGCAACTACTGTTTACAAGGTGGATCAATGACTTCGTGTCGTGGGTGGTTCATGGGGGTTTTACCCCACTCGATTTTTAAATTGTTTTTTCTATATTTCCACATTACTACGGCACGTGATGCCGTGTTTAAAATTATTGTATTATTATTTCGAGATCACCCTGTATAAACGTCCGATTCTTTCTCGATTGTTTAAATGCTTCTGGACGAGTTTCAAATGTGCGAACCGATCATGAATCCCTTTGTACTGTCGTAGTACGCTTTACTTACTTGCATGTTGTGGACTAGCCAGGCCGCTATCCAACAGAAGTTTGTTTTCGTCTGAAAAAATAAAAAACACGAAAGAATAAGTCGAAAAACAAAAACTTATTATTTGCTTTGTGTTCGTAGTATGACTTTAAATTTAGATATAATCACAAAATACAATTACGACCGAAAAGTTTAACTTGAAGATGACAGGTAATTATTAATCGTCAACAATTCAAAGAAACAATTTGAACAGAAAATTTATTCCTACGTTTTTATATTCCGAAGCTAATAAGGGGTTAACGTTGCGATAAGCTGAATCTCTGGAGAAATGTTGAACGATTTCAATGAAATTTAAATCAAGTGTATTAATATATTTAATTTAGGATTCCATCACGATGGAATTTCTTTCTACCTAGTTTCCAATTCTCACGGCGTTGGGACGTAAATTACGTCATGAAATTTACATAATTTTATAAGCTACACGTAAATTCAGCTCTAATACATAATTTCCTTTATATACAGATTCACAACAAGAATACATCACGACACCGGCGCGTGCATTACGGAATCAAACGTTCCAATAATACGTCTCACCCCTTTTTCGACAACGACACAATTTATTTTTAAATAACCTCCGTCCTAAAGACACGCGAACTAACAAATAAACGATATGTTTGGAAACACTCTTCATAACTTCAGGAGCTTATTGTGAGTAAAATAACTTTAAGTATAGGACCTATCTCGATTCCTTTGGGAACAAAGCCCGCCAAATGTGAAAGCTTTCCACGTTACTTTTTGTAAGAGTATTTTTTCTACGCGCATCTGAAACGCATGGAAACAAAAGGAGCTTACTTATGAGTTTCGAATCGTAATCATTTGTTAAAAAAAAAACACACAGACAGACAGACAGACACACACACGATAACAAAATTCTTACGAAAAGTTAAACTGATGCCGAAATACCGAGTTCGCTTTAACGTTAATCTATTGGCATTCAGCATGTCGGCGCGAATATCAGCCAAAAATATTTTTTGTGTAAGGAACGGCTGACGGCGTAAATATTTTTTCCCGTAAAGGGTAGGTGAAGTAATGTAATTGTGTACGGTGTGTCGTGTGTCTAGAATTTTTTAACAGGTGAAGTTGAGTTGAATAAAAAATTGATCTTTGATGTATCCGGATATAATAATATGTTCGAAAAGAAGTGCAATATCGAATGTTATCGGAGTGCTCGTCCGTGTTTTTGATGCGGGGACTCGCGCCCAAATAACATCCAAAGTTCGAAATAAAAAACTTCGTCTCGGCAGTCTTCGGTTTAATGCAATTTCTGTGTTTGTTCAAGATAATTCTATTGTATAATGATGAGGTACACAAGAGCTGAATTAATTAATAGCGTTGGCGATTACTAACGCCCGCGAAATATGCAAACTTTTCGAAATAACGCGAAAGTATGTATCGCGAAGTTGATGAAAGGCCCGAACTAGTTTTAAAGCTCCTTAGGCGCTAATGCGTATACCAGATCCCGGTGTAGAGACTAGAGAATAGCTTCTATTTTTTCGTGTAATTCCATTTGGAAGGACTTTCGATAAGCCCCACGGTTTCTATACCCTTCTTCGAAAGCTCGGCACGGGATGATTACAGAAGTTGGACTTGCAACAGCATAAACCCCTCAGGCCAGCTTCTTAGCTGCATGTGAAGCACGCGCCCTTGAAGGATGGCACGACAGACGAGTATAATTGCGCCCAGACGTGATCAGAGTTTAACGCAAGAAGCGATGATCGCTCGCTTGGCTACGGAAAATTTGATTTTTCAAAGGGCTACATTCGTAATTAGCAACCAGAAGCCGTTCCCAGAACATTATTCGACTTGTACGGCTGACATGAAATAATGGATACGAATGCACGCTGAATTTCTCTCTACAAACCGTCAACGATCCAGTCCGGCGCATCCGCCATTTTGACGGCCCCTGACGCTAATTAAAAACTTCGGGCAAACGCAAGAGAAATAATCGACAAGTCGTCGGTCGACTTTCTAGACTTTTCCTATACTTATTAATGATCCTAGACGTATCGCCGTTTTGTCGTCGGGAACCCTCGTGAATCTGAGGTAAGTGATGCATTTTTATGCCGTACGATTGATCTGATCCTGATTCTGGTTTATTGCGAATTCATCGAGATAATCTGTCCCTGGAGACTAGAAAATCAAACCCGACTCTGCTGACACGGAGCTGGTGTCCTTTACATCACGATTGGTTCTAGTGAGAGGGTAAAACACGTAAATCTAACGCCTGCCTGGTATAACGTTACTTATAAAAGGCTCTAAATTTTTGGACCGTAAAGAGTATAGCTATTTTTTAAGTTATCGCGAAGTATTTTAGGGTTTACGGTGAGTTAATAATTTGAGTTTCTCTCTTAAGGGCTTTCTCTTCGCGCTTTAGAAATTTTCGCGTCTTAAACAGTAAACACACTCTCGAAGACAAATATTTCTTTGTTGAAACAAGTTTAGTGAATTACAAACGTTGAAGTTTATCGAACACGTGGGATACGAATTCCAGATATTTTAAGTCGTGTGGAAAGAATGAATAATGAACGATTGCCGTAAAATTTATGACGGGTCTCCCAAAACTCTAAGATATCTAGATTCAAAGCGTTGAAATAAATTGATGTAGAGGTTCAAATGTATTATGTAGACGCGAACAAATTTGTAAGTTTTATTTTTACTTTCTAGAAGAAATAATTCGCATATCTTGGGAGAAGAAATCTTTGAAGCTATGATAAAATTTATCAAAGTTAAGCTCTTGGGACAAACGTACGTACGGTCGGTATAAATAGAATTATAAAACTTCATCACGACACACGCAAACACAAATTCAATTTGGCCGAACCCTTACCTATGTTGCTAACGCAACCGACAATTATCTCGGCTTAAGTATTACAATGGCTGCATTGTGTTCGTCGTACTCGAAGTAGAAACTTTTCTTTGCGAACTGACAACTAAAAGATATCGAGGAGTTTTAAAAGTAATTGTGACGGCGTTCTTATTCCGTCTCCGATTTATTGTTTTCTATTAGGTATAGAGATAAAAACAATGCGTTCGTCTGAAAGTGGGAATGTAGTACGATTTCGAAAAGTGTCCGTTTTTACACGTATTAAGGGTTAAGTTAAGAGTCATAAAAGGCCGCCGTTGCATTGCGTGCGAATTCCCGATTGAACGATCCTTCATGCCGTAAAAACGCGATAAAGATGTTGCAGAAAAATTCGTAAAATATTCTGCTAATATAAACATAGCGTGCGTACGCCTAATACGCGAGCACAGAAGGGTAAAATGCAATATTCAGAAATCTACTTATCTAATTATCGTAGTGTACATGCCTTAATCTAATTGTATAACATATAGCGGGATGTTTCCATTAACGTTATGCAAAACATCGAAACGAGCTTTGGCGTAAACGTAACTAGCAAATTTTATGTTAATGGGAAGCGTTCCAAGTAGTCGTAAAGAATATTAAAGTTGAAACTCTAGACAAATTCATACGTCCCGATATAAGACATAATAGTTTCGCAGTGGCTTGTGTAACTTACATGGACGTCAAGATAGTATATCTGATTTTATATCAGACTTGCGTCAAGAGCAGCTGAGACGAGAATCAAATCTGAACCGTACGTGTCCTGTACTGATTTTAAAAGGATAGCTTGTCTGCCGGAGGTTGACGTTAACGTCTAAAAACTGGTATCTATACTCAAAACAAAATCCTTTAATAATTTTCTAGACGAAAACGCGCATTATAATAAACCATTCGAGTTATTAACTTCTAGAGCAGAAGATGTATAATCACGATCTTACGACCATCAAGTTGTTCAACCTTACCCACTTTCACTCTCCCTAAATTGTCGAATCACCGTATTTTAGCGAAATCACAATTCCGTTGAACACAAATGAGTCGTTAGTGCTCCAGAATTCGGCTGGCTGAGGAAACAGCAAAGTACTAAAATTTATTTGGTTATGGATCTCTAGGATTACGATATCTTACAGTTGGCAATACAAGGAAATTTATGAGAACCACTTAAATTAAAACAAAGGCCAAAAATTCGGCTCAATCCGGACTAATTTTTTAATTAATCGTATCAGAGTTGAAATTCTTCTCGTCGTTTCCCATTATGTCCGGTAATCGAATGACACTTTCTAAGTACATTTCGACTTATCGAAGAATGAACTTAGCTTTTAATTTTTGATATTGGTATTGATATTTCGAGAGCTCTCGTTCTCGTGGATTTAACGTTTTAAATAAAGTAAATTACAAGCAACGAATGGTAAACACATTACTCTCGCCGCAAATATTTGATTTTGAGGAAAACCTATTTTCGCGAGGTTTGCTGAAATCGTCAGTATTTTACATCTATTTTATTCTTTAACGCCTATCTGACCATTCATGCATCGCTTAGCGTAACTCGGTTAAAACATTTACGGATAAAAACGTTCACGTAAGCAATTCCGCACTCTATTATCCGGACATCTAGAAAAATCATTTCGTAATTGCTTATATGAAAAACCCTATACTAATAGCCTTGTTGATCCCTTTACGCTCGTGCTGTCGTAAACTTATATAAGACAAGATAAACCGAAAGATTAAATACGATCCGACGAAGATAAACCGAAAAATCGAACTTGAAACTCTCCGAAATATAAATAGCTCTTACCGGGTCGATTTTACCGTTGGAAATTCGGCAATTGTGTGTCTAGGGCAACTTTCAATTACTTTTGTAATAAATATCTTTCAAAACAACGAAAGGAGTAATGTTTGATGGAAACGAATTCCTTCTACCGCGTTGAGAGAAAAGATTAACCTTTATTACGACGACCAGACAACTAGGTACTTCTGAGACCTTGTCATACCTAGTGACATTTCTCGACCGCAACACCCCCTTTTACGGATTCTTCCGACATAACAACCAGTCCGAGCCTGGATTGACCCCGAGCTCCCTTATAACAAGAATAAGCTTTGCACCGCGGCCAACGGCCACCGGCTCTTAAGGGGCTACTCGAGCTCATTCTCAAAATTAGAGTTATAACAGAAA